AGGAAAGTAATGTTAGAGAATGTTTGTAGAGAACAACAGCACACATGAGACGTGGGTACAACATGTACCACTGAGTCCAGGTCTTCAGGACTCCTCTGGCTTCCCCGCTGTACCTCATACAAGACCTCGCAGTGTAAGTACCTGCAAATCAATGAGTACATTACTCCTCGTTAGAGTTATCTTACCACGTGATCCAGGGGAGTTTTTATATCAATTTTGTCGTTACTCTCGCTCCACCTGGGTAGTGGTTATAGAGTTGTTTGTCATATATTTTAAGCCACAGCAGGGCAGTGTTTATATAGCTGTTATTCTCATCTTTCAAGCCACACCTGGGTAGTGTTTATAAGAACTTTACGAAGAAGGAACACTGCTGCAACCATACTGACCCATGCGACGCAGGTCCAAGTCACCTCCCGGCTTAAACCAATGACCCACCTAGTCAGGTCACATCACATCCACTTAAAGAGCAAGACATCAAACCTATTAGCACAAGCTGGTCAGGTTCAACTCACACCCATTCATGCAATTATCCAACCTATTTTTAAAACAACATAACGTCTTCGCTTCTATGATGGTACTCGGGAGTTTGTTCGCTCATTCACAACTCTGTTACCAAACCAGTGCTTTCCTATATCCTCCCTGAATCTGATTTTTTCCAGCTTAAAACCATTGCTTCGAGTCCTGTCCTGGCTAGTTATTTTTAGCACGCTATTTACATTCCTTTTATTTATTTATTCCTGTGGGAAGTCTTCCCACATCCCTGTGGGAAGACTTCCCACAAGAGTGATGGACTGAACACATCGATTCCAGGTTGAGGAACTGATTACCTCGAACTCCTCCTCTCCTTACCCATTTCTACTTTGTATTGGACTGATGAAGCCACTGTGTGGCGAAACGTTTCTTCAATAAAGATTCCCATGTGTTGCACAAGTGTCTCAATTCTTCAACATCTCAATCATATCCCCCCTAATTCTGCACCTTCCTAAAGAGTGCAGATTCAGGGCCTCAGTCTATCCTCATAGGGAAGATTTCTAATACATGGGATCAAGTTTGTCATCCACCTTTTTATGTTTTCCAGTGGATTTATATCCATTCTGTAATAACGGGGCCAAAACTGTGCAGCAGCAGCGTTTACTTAGCTGTTACTGTCATCATTTAAGCCACACCTGGGTAGTGTTTATAGTTGTTATTGCCATCTTTTAAGCCACATCTGGGTAATGTTTATATAGACGTTATTCTTATCTTTCAAGCCGCACTTGGGTAGTGTTTATATAGTTTCTGGTGAATCTTGCTTTGCTTTTATGTTATAGATTAGTGACTTGGGAGTATACCATTGGGGTTTCACTCATTATGATGCTTCCCCTAGATATGTTTGAGTGTATTTACCAGTATGTGGTTGCAGGGATTGAGTTATAGCTCCTGGCCCCAAATGTTAACTTGATTCTTGCCAGATTCACGTCCTCCTAGTCTCGTGGGACCTACTGTAACTGCTCTTAAAACTACGCAAGAAGTCTGTCTGCCTTCACCACTTTTTCGTTAAGGTCATTCCACTTTCCGCTACTCTGAGAATGAAGAAATACTTTCTGAAATCCCTGTGGTTCCTCTGTGCTTTCACTTCCAGCTGTGCCTTCTAGGGCCTCTTTCTCGCCTCTTAAACAGCCTACCCCTTCTACTTTATAAATTCCCCTGAATATTTTGCATGTTGCTGTCTTATCACCCATGTCCTTCTCTCCTTCAGTATCGTTAGATTCGGTTCAAGGTATGTGTGTGTCAGTTACCATTTTGTCCTAGGCACATGTTAATTAGACCCTAGGCCTGGTGTATATGCGTGCGTGCGTGCGTGCGTGCGTGCGTGCGTGCGTGCGTGCGTGCGTGCGTGCGTGCGTGCGTGCGTGCGTGCGTGCGTGCGTGCGTGTGTGTGTGTATGTGTGTGTGTGTGTGTGTGTATGGTGTGTGTGTGTGTGTGTGTGTGTGTGTGTGTGTGTGTGTGTGTGTGTGTGTGTGTGTGTGTGTGTGTATGTGTGTGTGTGTGTGTGTGTGTGTGTGTGTGTGTGTGTGTGTGGCGTGCGTGCGTGTGTGTGTGTATGTGTGTGTGTGTGTGTGTGTGTGTGTATGTGTGTGTGTGTGTGTGTGTTTGTGTGTGTGTGTGTGTGTGTGTGTGTGTGTGTGTGTGTGTGTGTGTGTGTGTGTGTGTGTGTGTGTGTGTGTGTGTATGTATGTGTGTGTGTGTGTGTGTGTGTGTGTGTGTGGTGTGTGTGTGTGTGTGTGTGTGTGTGTGTGTGTGTGTGTGTGTGTGTGTGTGAGTGTGTGTGTGCTCACCTATTTGTACTCGCCTATTTCTGGTGATCGCTACTAGGTCCTCTCTCTCCCTGCTCCAAGAGCTTTATCATACCTCGTCTTAAACCTATGTATGGTTCCTGCCTCCACTACCTCACTTGCTAGACTATTCCACTTCCTGACAACTCTATGACTGAAGTTGAAGACTCAGATGAGTCTTCAGCTTCGAATTGTGAACCCTTGTTTCTGTGTCCCCTCTCTGGAACATTCTGTCTCTGTCCACCTTGTCTATTCCTCGCAGTATTTTGTATGTCGTTATCATGTCTCCCCTAACCCTCCTGTCCTCCAGTGTCGTCAGGCCAATTTCCCTTAACATTTCTTCGTAGGACATTCCCCTCAGCTCTGGAACTAGCCTTGTTGTAAACCTTTGCATTTTCTCTAATTTCTTGGCCTGCTTGATCAGGTGTGGGTTCCAAACTGGTGCTGCATACTCCAGTATGGGCCTGACGCACACGGTGTACAGTGTCTTGAACGATTCCTTACTGAGGTATCGGAAACGCTATTCTCAAGTTTGCCAAGCGCCCATATACTGCAGCAGTTATCTGTCTGATGTGTGCTTTCGGAGACGTGCTCAGTAATATACTCACCCCAAGATCTTTCTCCTTGAGTGAGGTTTGCAGTCTTCGGTCACCTAGCCTATACTCTGTCCGCAGTCTTCTTTGCCCTTCCCCAAGCTTCATGACTTTGCATTTGGCAGGCTTAAATTCGAGGAGCCAGGTGCTGGACCACGCGTCCAGCCTGTCCAAGTCTCTTTGTAACCAGCCTGATCCTCATCTGATTTAATTCTCCTCATTAACTTCACATCATCTGCGAACAGGGACACTTCTGAGTCTTTCCCTTCCATCATGTCATTCGCATATACCAAAAATAGCACTGGTCCTAGGACTGACCCCTGTGGGACCCCTCTCGTCACAGGCTCCCATTGTGATACTCATCACGTACCATGACTCGTTGTTGCCTCCCTGTCAGGTATTCTCTGATCCATTGCAGTGCCCTTCCGGTTATACGTGCCTGATCCTCGAGTTTCTGCACTAATCTCTTGTGGGGAACTGTGTCGAAGGCCTTCTTGCAGTCCAAGAAAATGCAATCAACCCACCCCTCTCTCTCGTGTCTTACTTCTGTTACTTAATCATAAAACTCCAGAAGGTTTGTGACTCAGGATTTGCATTCCATGAATCCGTGCTGGTTGTCGTTACTAATTTTGTTCTGTTCTAGGTGCTAACCCACCCTCCTCCTGATAATCTTCCCCATGACTTTGCACACTATACACTTCATTGGCACTGGTCTATAGTTTAGTGCCTCGTTTCTGTCTCCTTTCTTAAAAATGGGGACTACATTTCTCGTCTTCCATGCCTCAGGTAGTTGCCCAGTTTCAAGGGATGTGTTGAAAATTGTGGTTAGTGGCACACACAGCACCTCTGCTCCCTCTCTAAGGACCCACTGAGAGATGTCCGGTCCCACCGCCTTTTAGGTATCAAGGTCACTTGATACCTCTTCTTGAAACTATGTATGGATTCTGCCTGCACTATATCAATTGCTCTGCCCTGCTCTGGTTTTCCTCTGCTGATTCTGTACTTGTCTTTCTTCTTAGCCCCTTTCACTTCTGTATCCTCTCCCTCAGCTGCTGTTATTCTGTTTTTGTTCTATCTCTGTCTAGGAACACCTTCTTGTATGTTGACATTTCCTTCAGCCATGTTTTCTCTTGCAGGATCCTGTTTTGCACCGTTTCTGTCTTGAAAATCAACTTGACCTGATGATTTCTCCCCTTTATGTACCCCCCCCTATTCTGTGTGTGTGTGTGTGGGTGGGTGTGCAGCTTATAATTCAAACAATATGAATTTAATGCTTCTCAATAAATGGGGAGAAATCAGAATAAGGGCACATGATAAGCAATGTTCCACAAGGGTGAGTGTTGGGCCCTTTGTTGTTCACAATTTACATAAACGACATAGATGAGGGAATAAATAGAGACATAAGCAAATTTGCTGATGACACCAAAATAGGCCGTCCAATTCATTCTAATGAGGACATTAGAGCACTCCAGAATGATTTGAAGATTGATGCAGTGGTCAGAAAAGTGGCAGATGCAGTTTAATATAGACAAATAGGAAAATAACCATGCTACATATAAACTAAATAATTTAGATCTTAATATTACTGATTGCAACAAAGGATTTAGAAGTTCTGGTTAGTAGTAATCTGAAACCAAGACAACGGTGCATAAGTGTTCGCAATAAAGCTAACAGAATCCTTGGCTCCATATCAAAAAGTATAAATAATAGAAGTCCTCACATTTTTCTTCAACTTTATATATCCTTGGTTAGACCTCATTTAGATTATGCTGCACAGTTTTGGTCACCGTATTACAGAATGAATATAAATCCTCTGGAAAACGTACAGAGGAGGAAGATCAAGTTGATCCCATGTATCAGAAAGCTTCCCTATGAGGATAGACTGAGGACCCTGAACCTGCACTCTCTAGAAAGGTGTAGAATTAGGGGGGATATGATCGAGGTGTATAAATGGAAAGCAAGAATAAATAAAGGGGATGTAAATAGCGTGCTAAAAATATCTAGCCAAGACAGGACTCACAGCAATGGCTAAAATTTGGAAAAATTCAGATTCAGGAAGGATATAGGAAAGTACTGGTTTGGTAATAGAGTTGTGGATAAGTGGAACAAACTCCCGAGTACTGTCATAGAAGTTAAGACGTTGTGTAGTTTTAAAAATAGGTTGGATAATTACATGAGTTGGTGTGGGTGGGTGTGAGTTGGACCTGACTACCTTGTGCTACTA